ATTCTCACAATAAAATCAATATAAGTGAACAAATTTTTCAATTATCTATAAGTTGTCTTCTTATCTTTCTTTCTTATTCAAAGTAAAAATATCGAATTCCATACACATTACATGTATAACAGGCATTTATTGAAATCATGGCGATTATTTCATGTCACCGATGGGACAGTCAATTAAGTCTTGTTATTTGCATTTCTATCTCACTGAGAGCCTTAATGCCTCATCAGTGCATTTTAACAAAGACACGAACAAAGAATGATGTACAAATTCTCTACTATACTGATAAGTCTTGCAATTTGAACACTATACTGGGTTCCTAAGCTATTCATGAAACCCCCAAGCTAGAACCCCCAAGCTAGACCTGAGCACGACAGGGAAGGCGCAAAGTATGCGAAAAGTACTTTACTCACAGGTTCGTTTTAATACAGAAGATATAGGGTTTTTATAATATTCTAAATGTCATTGGGTTGCTCGAAGATTCTGAAATGCTACTAAACATAGTAGCCGTACAACAACCAGCCAATCAGAACCTCTACATGTGATGTTTCACAACCTTGGTATTTCTGGCTAAACTCCAAGTGAACGCTGATTGGATGAGATACTTCTTAATGTTTCCTGATCCTTGCGTGTCTTTTGCAAGAATTTTTCTGGATCATCCCAACATATACAAACTTGTTATTAATAGTGAAATAATAATTCTATAAGTATAGGGGTTGTGGAGATTATTAAATTTTTGATTGAGATCATGAACAGGTTCATGATCTCAATCAAATAATTTTATAGTTGAATTCATGAGTCAATTGAAGCTAGACCACCATGAAAAACCTGTAAACACTGGATGGCCGTTTCGTCCTAGTATGGGACTCCTCAGCAGTGTACATCCACGACCACGCCCCAAGGGATTCGGCCCCAGGACTTATCGGTCTCGCGGGCGAAAGCGAGATAGAAAAATTATTATTAGATTAGTACAGTACAAATAAAATAGGAACAAACAGTAAGAAACTATTCACGTAATAAGAAATCAATATTTGCAATGTTAATAGTTGAATCACTTTTTCTCTCAAATGTTCTATCATAATCATTATTGGTTTATTGAACGTGATAAGTAAGATCCTTTTATATGTTTATATTCCTAATAATATAAATGTAACTTCAAGTTAATTAAATATACAAACATTACAATCCGTAATTGATTGCCTGTTTAAAACAGTTAGTTTTAATTTTATAGTAAAATGAATAATGAAATCATTTTTGATTTTGGCTAGTAGTGTACACAAGGAAATGTATTTGACTGAGTTTAAAATGACTAGATAATTAGATAAAACTGCTGTCTCAGTGATTAAAAGATTCAGTCATGCAATATATAAGAGAGAAATGTAAACTCTGACAACAATATAAAATAATTATTCTTATGTGTTCGTTCGATATTGGTATTTATTCTTTAAGATGATTAAGAATAACACTTAGACTCATTCCAACAGTGGTGCACACAAAATTTAAACATTAGAGATTATACATTATATCAGTTGCTAAAGTCTTTTGTCCTAAGGTTTCGTTTATTCATAATTTTGGGACCATTAATTAATTTATTTGTTTTAATGTGATTAAATAGATGAGTATCAAATATGTCCTATTGTTTTATGCCTTTAAATAAGTTCTCCGATGATAAGATACCTCAAATGATAACATTATTATTTACAGTCTATGAATACTTGAAAGTCTTTTAAATGCAATAGATCAACCTGTTTGTTAATCATGTTTAACTTATCAAGATGATGAGAAATAAGGATACGCTTCATATCAATAATATAGAAATATCTAAAATTTATAGATTCTATTTAATAAACGAATGTTTCATCACTTGACCTTTACCTTGATCTTGCAAACTAATGCATATACATATATATTAATTCCTTTCCAACATTTTTTCCCTAAAGGCATCTATATTTATATTGTTGAGTTATCAACTGTTAAATTATCAGTCAATTGAAGATACTGGAAAAAAAGTTTTGTATTTTTACTTTAAAAGAAAGTAAATCAACATACTTTGAAGTTTCCTAATAATTCTCATCATTATTAAAACATAAAGATGAATGAACAAAGAATATTCTATATCATAAACCTACCTCAGTGAATAAAATAGTTGATTAATTGTTAGGTTACTTTCTCATTTTGTTATTGGATACTTTTTTTATTGTTAATGATTTACATGTTTCCAAAATTCGAGTATCATGGCATAGCTAAACGGCAATTATTAGATTATGAATAGAAAATTTTGAACAGTTTGATTCAAAGATTTACTTCACTATTATATGGTTAATTGAATACGTCTCGGCTCTTGTGATAATTACAAAGAATTTCGTAGATATCGATTTTGTTGATTTATTTATAAGTTGATTTAACTGTATAAAAACTCATATAGTTGATTATTTTGACTAATCTAATTGTTAGGGATGGTAAAACTGGTATGCTTTGAGTCCCCGTGCATATGTTACATGATATCGTGTATTTTGGATGTCGTCATTTATCAGCTATTAACACGATTTTTCCCGTCACACGTCAATTTTCTTAATATTTTTGCTTTTTATATAGCTTTTATTCCAGTCAATTGGTAGTTTAATGTAGCTGTTGCCCACTACATGAGTGAATGTTAAGTCAGCCTAATGTGGTTATTTGTATTAATGTAAACCCAAGCAAGTGAAATTCACTACATATCAAGCCAAAAATAGATTACAGTCAGATTTTTTAAGTAACAATAAACTCTAAAATCTTTAACATTTTATTCACATTTCCAAATATGGTGGTGATGAACCATTTTTGAACATTATATAAGTTACCAGTGTACGACCATACCAGTTCTATTCATTATAAGTATCATCTTTTTGACGGGACTGACATATCCATATTTAACTTGTCTGAGAAAGAACAATCATATGAGTAACAATTGACGTTGATAGCCATTTTTGCCCGCTTTCTGAACATATACAAGAATTGTATATAATATAACTGTCAGTGTTACATTAATTAGTGACAGATTCTTCATAAGTAAAGCGATGCTTGTTTGTTTCGAGTGTAATAAGTGAACAATGTTGTTACCTACTTACTTACGCCTGCTATACTAAGTGAAGAATCATAGGTCGTTCATCAGCATTCTCTATCCAACTCTGTCCTGAGCAATCTTTTCCAGTTCTTTCCAGTTGCTTCTAATTCTCGACGCAATGAGTTCTTTGGCCTTCCTCTTTTTTTCCCTTCACGATTCCAAGTTAGAGCTTGCCTCGTGATTCAGTTTGGTGATTTCTTTAATGTATTTCCCATTTACATCTAATGTGTTTTCTTAATTTCCTCTTCCAACGTAAGTTGGTCTATTCTCTCCCACAGTAAGCTGTTACTGAGGGCATCCGAACAACGGACATTGAATATCTTGCGTAGTCAACTGTTTATAAATACTTGTACCTTGTAGTGTCTTTCATTATGTTAAGCCCAAATACCTCATTATTCTAACTTCCGGACAGCCCATTCTATTCATTCTATTTGAGTCACATTCTGACCTTGTTAATTATTCGCTTATCAATGCCTTGACTGTCTTTGTATGAGCGCGTAGGCGTATGCACACTTCTTATCCCGTTACTCATCACATATCTGTAATTTATTTTTGTGGGCTTATAAATATTGATTAACTCTTTGCTAAATGAGAGTTGGCTTACCAGCCATCTCCACCGCGCGCCAATTTAGCTTCGCTTTCTCATCTTCGCATCGTTCCTCCGTTCGTTTGTCTAATCAACAATTATACAAAATATATGCATTCAAGACTCCATTCTCGTTATTTGACTTATTTAATTCCGTTATTAACTAACGTGATTTAAGTCACTGGATTATATACGAGGATAGACGATAGCAACCAATCATTTCGATCAAATTGGAGTCAGATCACGGGCCACTAAACTGGTGAGCCCGCCACCACAGGCGAACACAACGGGCCACTAAAACCTTCTTGATGATAGTTGTAGTAGTTCTCCAAGTTTCAGCTCTATACAGTAGGACTATCTTGACGTTCGGAATAAAGATTCTGACTTTGATGTCGGCTGGCCATTGTTTTGAATTCCATATATTCTTCAACTGTAAGAATGCTGTCCTTACTTTTCCAGTCCTCGCCTTTAGGTCTGCATCCGATCCTCCTGGTTCATCGATGATCCCGCCCAGGTACGTGGAAGCTGCCAGCTCTTCCAGAGTCTCTCCATCAAGTGTGATTAGGTTGGTGTTCTTTGTGACATATTTGAGAATTTTATTTTTTTTTCTTGTGAATGATGAGGCTTATTGATGCAGAGGCTGTTGCTAAACTGGTTTTCTTCATCCGCATTCGTTCGTGTTTATGGTATAGAAGGGTCAGGTCATCTGTGAAATCGAAATCATCTAGTTGCATCCAATTTATAAAAGTACTCCATGCTTCAGCTCAGATATGAAAGTCTCCATAATTCAGTCAACCACCAGAAGAAAGAGGAAAAGTGAGAGTAAACAGCCTTGTCTGACTCCGGTCCTTACCTGGAATGCATCTATCAGCTGTCCTCCCTGCAAGAATTCGCACTATAGTCCATCGTATAAATTCCGTATGATATTGACGATCTTCTCATATACACCATAGTGTTGAAGAAGTTTCTGTTCGTTCCCCCTAATGAGACATCGGATGTTGTTAGTAAATACTAATTTATGATGCGTCTGTTATAGAGATTGAGAATTAATATCTATAAGCGTTATAACTGAATGTTTCTGAAACTTCATTATACTACTTGAAGCTTTTGAATCGATTTATTTGTTGCCTGCAATTTCGTTGCGAATACCAAATGACTAGGTGAAATTCTAAGAGGGTTAGAAAATGAAGAGCATTCTTTACAACAAGTCAATTATAGGTACATTCTGTTAGCTGCTATTTCGTTTACTTATTGAATTTGATACTGATAACCAAGTTTAATTATTCGTTTCACGATTGATTTGTTGTTTTTCAGAACTGCATTAAGCTAGGAAGGCACCCATACGTTTTTTGATATACAACTTATGGCTTCTGTCAACTAATTGAAAGGCTCAAACCTTTCTAATAATCATTCTATACCGGTGAACAACTTATAGAATTTCTGGATATGGAAAATTATGTGAAGAAACAACTTACATGTTGACGATAACTGTGTTTAATATTAACTACTGCCACATTTATTCATCTAATGAATTATTTAATCACAAATTAACAACTGTACTCAGTCTTTAACAGTATAAATCTTGTTAGTATTCAGCCAAATATACTGTCATAGTGAAGAGACTTATATATACAACGCAACATTTTGGTGAAACGTCTAAACTGATGCAGTGTTACAAGTTTTTATAATGAATTGCAAACATTTAGTTGCTTTTAATCTTCACAAACAGTTACCCGTTATGATAATCAGTATACCTCCTCATGAAACTACGAAGACGAAAATTAAAATTGGGCAAAAGTTTATTGATGCATCATTACTACTGGCAAAAGAAGAGTAACATTGATGAAAAAAATCAGTTTACAAGTTGTACATATGGTTAAGTTGTAAATTCAACAATAAAGAACTTCTTAAAGTAATCAGTTCCTGTCACGTCTCCACACTTTGTTATATTCTCAGCCATATTTTTTGTCGTAAAGACTGAACAGAGATAAGCGTCTGAGAAACTACGGCCTTACCTAGTTATTTATAATCCTTAAGTAAAAATTGTCGACTTTGCTCTCCACTAAAACCGCGAAGCGCTCACCACATTTCTCAACAATCTGTCTCAGGACATGTTATGAAGTAAACAATCGAGCCGACGCGTACAATTTGGGGCCATTTATCTGACTCTAGTTGAATCGTTTCTGATTGCCGTTGAGATACAGATGTCGCCACTCCTCGTATATAATCCGCGTTAGTGAATAACAGAATTAAATAAGCCAAATACGAGAGTGGATTTTTGAGTGCATATATTTTGTACACTCACTGATTTGAACAGACAATGAAGGGGACGAAGCGGAATGACGCGCCGTGGAGAGGACGTATGAGCCAACTCGATTTATAATCAGATAAAAATAAGCTACAGACATGTGATGATTAATATAAGAAATGCACACATACGTTCATATAAAAACAGTCAAGGTTGATAAGTGAATAATTAACAAGGTCAAAATGTGACTCAAGAAGAATGGATAAATTAGCCTGTCGAGAAACAAGAATGAGTTATGTCTGCTTGCATAGCACTACATACACTACAAAACAGAGAAAGTTAAATTAATGTATTTCGCAATGATTTGGTGATTTTGCTGCATCAAAAGACTACTTAAATATGAGAACACTTAGAATTCATGTAACGCAGCGGACACCTAACAAACACACAGAAATTGAAATTCGGAATAGACGCCTCATGCCAAGCCGTTCATGGTCATTGAAACGAAAAAACGGTTGGTTTTGAGTGAATATATCATTTTTACCTTCCCGATTGTTAACATTTGAGCTTACTAAACACCGTTACCACAGAATACTTAAAAGTCAACTAGTGATTGTTGAATGGTCTCCGTAAAATCTAGTGAATATCATTATCTGTAAAAACATCATGTTCATTACTACAAGTAAAAGTCACTTTATTTATCAATGCACATGGGTTATAACTGGAAATAACAATCATAATAAACAAATAATGTGAAAATTCATTCAACTTACTTTGTTGGAAATAAAAGGTAAACAAATTGTGCATCACATATAACATTGCATGTTTGAGTATACAGACTAAAGAATTAATTTCTTTGATATGATTGGAGATTTACGATCAATGAAACATGATATTTAAGCCATATATTAGTGGGATGAACATTCGTGTTCATACATTATTTTTGAAAGAATTTTTGTGAATTACATAACATTTTGAATCACTTGTTTGAAGTGATATTATCAGCTAGTTTGTTGGATTATGTGTAATTTTGCTAAACCTTCCATATTATCTCTACTTAAAAATATAAAACCTACTATGAAAATAATTGAATCCATGAACGATTAGATTGTTAGGAAAACTTTATAATCAAAATAATTATTTCACCTAACATCGTCAGTTTAACCCAAACAATGAATAAAACTGAATTTCATTAGGCTGTTCGGTTAAGAAATCACTGTGCCACTATATATATATATATATATATATATATATATATATATATATATATATATATATATATATATATATATATATATATATATATCATACGATCGCTATATCATCAAACATAGAAATCAATTCATACGCTATTCTAGTAAATTATGCCAATAATTCAACAAATACTAAACTTCTTTGAGTATATATGTCAAAAATGTCATTCTGGTTGCTGGACATATTACAAATAGATAGATTATATTTATGTTCTCTCCAATTTATTTAATTTCAATGTATGAATATGATAAAGACACAAAAGTTAGTAGTTCTTTTAACTACGTACAATTCAATAATAATTTTTAAAGCAAAGATGGATAGTAGCTAGCAGTGGAATCCAGGACGCACGTTTCGTATCATTTGGGACTCATCAGTTAAATGTGCCTGTATCTCTGAGTTGATGTTCATTCTGGGACTCGAACTCAGTACAATGTTATAAATTATCTAAAGTTACTTAAAATCGCTTTAAAAAATTGTATCGTTTTCTCTTATTTTTTTACAGGGAATGATCTATGAGTTTTAAAAGAGCAACTTAAAAATATCCTATTGATATACGATTAATGTATGGTGGGTAATTTAATTGAGAATATCAATTCAGTTTAAAAATTAGTTGATTAATTGAATATCATCAGACTGAAAGAAAAAAACTGTAAATTATATTTTTATTTTTGTGAAAGAGAAGACACAGTTTCACTACTACAACGCATATGAACTTTGTCAATACCATTATGAATAACGCATTTTCTTCATGATAATCTTTATATATATGCTTTATGTTAAGGATACTAGTTTCTTTCATTTCGTTTGCTAACAAATGATAGTGTTTATATTTAAAGGTAATCAGAATAACATTTTACCGATTCATTTTACAATCCTGAAATTTGCTATTATCTGGTGCATTCCTTGTACTACCAATTTGCTACTTTTTACTATTTATACCATGTTCATATTTGTTACTATATATACAGAGTTGTTGCAATATAAATTTTGACTTCTTGAATTTTAAGCCTATCCTAAAATGCTGATTTCTTCCTATCTTCTACTATATTGAGTATAGTTGTTAAAGTGATATGCGTCAATCAATTGATCTATTGAATTCGTATTGAATGCCGTTAGTATTAAAAGATTCTCAATGATTCATAACTAGAAATGATCATAGGTTTTGCTCAAGGAATCTTAGAACTTTATTAGAAATTGTATAATTAGTATTTAATAATTTATGCACCAACTATATTCATTCAAGCTGACTAAACTAGGTAATACATTTTACATTGAATAGAAGTTGGATGGTTGATTTTGCGCTATACAACAAAATTTAGTTACCACTTAGTGATCAACTAATGTAAACTAAATAAATACCATGAAATGAATATGATAATTTCCAAAGATGATTTTTTACCACATATTGATGTCATTTAGAGAATTACTTGAAGCCATAACCTATTATATAATTACTTTATCCTAGTACGGCAAATTTTAAAAATATACATCTCCAAATACGAGCAGAAACGAATTTATTTGAAATGGCTCAACTAAGGAGTATGTTACAATATTCTATATTTTTTGATTTTCAATAAATTCGCATCATTAATAAAATACAATAGTTGCATGTGTCCAATGAGCATCTGCCACACTTTTTATTATCAGAAATTACTAGGTTTGAAGCTATCACGTGTTCACTTAATATGCAAACTAGAACAAAGACTCGGTGACCAAAGACCAATAAGCTAGATATTCTGATGCGTCTCAGCCCCGCTAAATAGAGGAAGAAGTCGAAGCTTGGAATGGGGAAGTATATTCTGCAAACAGCTAGAAACGAGCGATAACAACAAACACAAACCAAAATTTAAATATACAACACAAAACCGTCCATGGGGAGAGTTACCAAATAGCATACTAAAAGGCACAACGGACCAATAGCATTCAAGATATTTCTCAAGTGGGAAATACGACATGAAGGTGACAAGAGTGCTTTTGGCGCGAAACAAAGAAATTCATAGTTTCTAAATAAAATTACAAAATTAGGTTCTTCTCCAAGTGAGTTCTGGGGATCTAATGTCTCCAAAAGGAATATAAACCAGCATAATAACACTTTTATATACGACTCTAAAACTATGGCAGACCTTTACAGTGGTATTTTCGCGAATGGTGTAGGAATCATAAGTGACTCTGCTTCAAGAGTTACGTGCGTGACCAGCAACTCAATAAAATCTATCTCCTTCACATGTAAGTAAATTAATATGGCTATAAATGTCCTTAAGCTTTCGCACGGTCATGGAGCAGATGGGATTTCATCCTTTCTTTACAAATATGGTGGTCCAGATATTACACTTCTTCTTCTGAAACTTTTTACTCTCTCCATGGAAACTGGTTCTTACCCTTACTGCTGGAAAACCGCGTACATCATACCACGTTATAAATCTGGAGATAAGACTGTCATGAACAATTATCGGCCAATAAATATAACTCCAGTAATCTCTAGGATTATAGAAAAAATTGTAAGTGATGAACTTTCCAACTATTTACTCGCTGGAAAATTTATCAATGATACTCAACATGGATTTCTCAAAAATCGATCTTGCACGACATGTCATTTTGACTTCTTTAATTTAGTCTATTCTCTACGTAGCCAAGGATATCTAGTCTTAATGCTATATCTGGACATTTCTAAAGCCTTTGATATGGTTAGCCACCAACTTCTAATAAGTAAACTCGCATCTTATGGGGTTCAAAACCCTTTGCTAGCTTGGTTTGATTCATTTCTCAGCAATCGACATCAAATAGTTAAAATTAACTCTTCATTGTCTAACGCTGTCCCTGTTAGAAGTGGTGTAATACAAGGTAGTGTCTTAGGCCCTTTGCTCTTTTTAGTGTTTATCAATGACATTTGCGAAAATTTTTGTGTAGGTAAGCCCCTTCTATATGCAGATGATCTTAAAGCAGTATATTGATTTTCTTCGCATGAGCTGGAAAATATGCGAAATTGCGTCAACTTGGAGCTTAGCAAGGTAGCACAGTGGTGCTTAAAATGGCAACTGGAACTTAATACGGCCAAATGTGGATGGATATGCTTCGGCGATACATCACTTAACCTAGACCTTACCATAAATGGAGAAGTGTTATCTAGGTTACATACATTAATAGACTTAGGACTTAGATACTCCCAAGACTTATCGCATACAGAACAGATATCGAAACAGACCTCTAAGTCACAACGTCTAGAAGGTTACATAATTCGAAAACTTCACAACAATGAATCACGTATTTTAATGTACAAAGTTTGTGTTCGACCTCTTCTAGAGTATTGCACGTTTATTCTTAGTAGTGCGCGCATAAAGGATAAATTAAGGCTGGAATCAGTACAGAGATGATTTACACTACGTATTCTTGGAGCTGATTGTACTTAACTTATAATTCTAGATGTAAAAAACTTGGTCTGGACCCTTTATTGAAGAGGAGACTCAACATAAATCTCATCTTTTTCTTCAAACTACTTAATAAACTATTCTTTACATCCAATCACGTTATTCAATATGCAGAAACTTCTGATTATGAAACCCGTAATTCCTTGGCACTGGTGAAACAAACTTATTCTAAATCATCTCTTTATATGAATTACTTTGCCTGTAAATTTTCTAGACTCTGAAATAACCTACCACAACATATCCGTACGATAAAATCACTCCCATTATTTGTTCGTTGTATCGATTCATACTGCTCCTCTGAAAATGCATTGAATGTTCCAGCACCTGTAAGTGTATCTCACTCCACAAGTGTTATTATAGGAACTTTAAATGTTTAGCCATCTTTATTAGTGCATTCCGTAAGTAAAACCACCTACTTGCTGTCACTTAATGTTAACACCGTCCCCAACAAGTTTAACTAATTTGAATAGCATCAACAGTATATCACTGTGTCACATGACATACGCATTTTGATAGATCTGATTGACATATTTCGGTAATTACTGCTTTGTTGTTCCGTGCTCTCTGTTTTCGTTTTAATTTCTCTGGTTGTAGATAATTATCATTAATTCGATCTGGCACACGAAATGACCTTAATTACACCGTTCATAAATTAACAGGCTGTCCAGTTAAGAAATATTAAATGTTCCAGGCTGATGCATTGGATCGTTGTAATACCTAAACAATTACTGAACTAGTAACCTTAAAACTCCTATCACATGTTTGTTCTGTACATATAATGATATTATTTATACCAAATTGATCATGCCTGTAAACTGGCGTGAATTCTGTAATTATTATTTTTTCAGAATATAAATTATTGTATTATATATCAAACCTTAACTAAACAATTATTAAGTCTTTCTTTCTTTGTGAAAGTAACCTATCACTACGGATAGTAAATTGTTTGATGATAACAAAAATTAATCTTCAAATATATTAACCTTTATAGCAGCTCACGTGTAATTGAATTCGTTCACTTTTTATTTGTTTAAGCCCCCATACAACAACTTATATCATTGTACCTTTATTATTGTTGTGCTTGTATGAATATGTATTCTCGAGTATTGCATAACTGCCTACGCATATATTCATTCTGCTAGCCTTATTGTTAGTCGCTTAACTGATTCAATGATTCATTCATTTTCTTATATATATTTATTTATACATGTACATTTAATCCTATTCATTGAGATGGTGGACGCGCTCATTCGACTCACACGCTCACTTGCTTGCCTGTTCTCTTTTCGGCACTACTCTTTCAGAGTTGGTTAATGTACCAGTAATTTTAGTTATCTGTACATGGTGCAATAATAAACGTAATCAACACTTAGTAATCGACTTCTGATTAATATACCACTGGGGCATTATCTAGCAACGGTTATCACGACGACCTATATACGAAGTTTAAGGATTATCTTGAATACCAACCACCACACCTTTTAAATTACATTATTGAACTCTTTTTATAATTAAATTTCTACAATTATTGTAAATATAAAAATCAATTGAAATCTGCCTTGTATAAATTCTACTACTTGTAATATGTAAAATATTATTTCTATATACTATTGGTGAATTATTAGGAATGATTTTTTCCTTTTTTTTAGCCACCCATAAATAAATTTATTCATTTGGATAATATCTCTTGTCAAATTTCATTGTTATTCATGTTTTTTTTTGTATTTTTCTGTTTTACTAGCCGACAAAAGAAACATATTATAGATTTTATTACTATGTGATATTTCTCTTATATTTTTCTGTAATTGGAAATCAAGACAGGAAATAAAATAAATTCAATTTCATTTTTTATTTCTATCACAAATATGAACGTCTATTTTATTTATCTTGACATATACTATACCTATCATCTAATAACTTGAGCATAACCAATATATATATATATATATATATATATATATATATATATATATATATATATATATATATATATATATATATATATAACTAGTTAATCATTGAATAGTTGTCAATGTTAAATTTACTTATTTCTTCGATGCTATTAATGTCCTATAAACAAAGTTAATATGTTGCCTTTAGTCTGAGTGATTTAATATTGTATACACTATACAGAATACTTAGTGATTGGAGGTAATGAGCAAAATGTTTAGGTTTAATGATCTCTACTAACTACTTCTAACCAATTAATATAAGTAGTCAGTTTTTATTTGACACTAGATAAACCAATATGACTACATTGTACAGTGATTTTACATGATAGCTCTCGCTCACACCTAAATTAAAGTTTTCGTTTATGTAGTTAATCATCTTAACTCATAATTTATTTTTCATAGGTTAGATTCCATAAAAAAATGGTCCAACAATCTTATCAGGTTAATCCTATATTTATGTACAATATTAATTTGTTCTTACTAAAATGAATCTAGCAACTTAGACTGTGGATAAATACCATAAGCTTCGTATATTTCAAATAATCTGAATTTATGATATATGTGTTAAAGAACATATACTAATTTCCTTCTTGTAACTTCACTAC